GGAAGAAGTAATGGGCCTCATGGGCCAAGTGCTGGAAGAGAGGAGGCAGGGCGCGTGGCCCCCCTAACCCAAACCGAATTGGACTAGGGGGCGGCCCCCCTTTCCCCCCTTTCCTCCCTCTCCTCCTTCCTTTCCTCCTCCTAGTGGGAGTAGGAAAGGGGAGTCCTACTCCTACTAGGACGACTCCTCCTCCTGGCGCGCCCTACAGGGGCCGGCCGGCCTACTCTCTTGCTCCTTTATATACGGGGGCAGGGGGCACCTCTACACACAACAATTGATCTCTTGATCTCTTAGCCGTGTGCGGTGCCCCCCTCCATCATATTCCACCTCGGTCATATCGTAGCGGTGCTTAGGCGAAGGCCTGCGTCGGTAGCAACAACATCACCGTCATCACGCCGTCGTGCTGACGGAACTCTCCCTCAAAGTTCGGCTGGATCGGAGTTCGTGGGACGTCATCGAGCTGAACGTGTGCTGAACTTGGAGGTGTCGTACGTTCGGTACTTGGATCGGTCGGATTATGAAGACGTACGACTACATCAACCGCGCTGTGCTAACGCTTCCGCTTTCGGTCTACGAGGGTACGTGGACACACTCTCCCCTCTCGTTGCTATGCATCACCATGATCCTGTGTGTGCGTAGGAAAATTTTGAAATTGCTACGTTCCCCAACAATACTACCGAGAGCACCTCTCGGAAACATGGTCGTCTGGGAGACACTACTGTTGTGCCACAACTTTTCCGAGAGCCGCTCTCGGAAAAGAAGGCGAGCATTGCCGAGACTAGCTCTCGGCAAAGATATGTAAACTGTCAGCTGCCATGTGGGCCACGCTGTCCTACTGGTCAGCAGGATTGCCGAGAGCTGCTCTCGGCAAAGATATCGTCATATTTTTCAAAAATATTTAGCAAGTTATTTGAAACTTTTACTGATAAATGTGACCAGTGGGACCACATGTCAGTTAGAAAGAACAAACACAAAAAAGAAAATAGGATGTGGCATATGCTTTGTCGAGTGTCGTATGGCGGCTCTCGGTAATGCACGCAGTAACTGACGAAGCCGTCTGTTGCGGACGGGCATGCTACATGGCTACTCTTTGCCGTGAGCCGCGTGTAACTGAGCCCAGCACATCGACTCTTCATCCCAGCCCAGCCCAGCCCACATGTACTCTGAGCATTGCAGCCTCAATAAAAAAACCGAGCATTGCACTCTATGATCCGTGATTCTGACTTTTTTAATCTTCATCTCGTTCCAAAAAATGTACTCCCTCCATTCCCTTAGACTAGACACAGTGGGAGTAACTTCGGTAGTAACATCGAGTCCAACTCAGCAAATTTGCTCATGTGGCAGTGAGTTAATGAGGAGAGATGTAGTACTAGTAACTTAGCTAGTTACTGTAACATCACATGTCCCAATACAATATGAGTCTATAACCTAATAAATGAAGTTTTGCATGTTACCACACTTATGTTACTACCCACTATTGAGATAGTAACATAGTCTAGGGATATGTGTATGTTACTAGTGTATGTTAGTCTCCATTGTGGCTAGTCTTATACAAGGCCACTATGAAAAATGCAATTTGTATCTATACAAGTTCATTAATAGTAATCGAAAAAAAAATTAATGATGTTTTCACGTTCTACCAACTTATTTAATACTTGCATGCATGTAGTCATAATGACACTGTGCTACTTCCTTCTCATGCCTTCTTTGCATGCATGCATGCGTATTAATTATCCTGATTAACGAAAAGAATAATTGACTTACGAAGCAGTCATTAAATTTTACATTGGTACCTGTAATTCGAGTTTATGGCCTTGTTTAAGGGAATGGAGGGAGTACTTAATCCTCAATTTTTAGTTAAAAAAGAAATGTGATTCTAATGTATGTATTGCTTTGTGTGTAATGCAAGCTGCTGATTTGCTGAGTATGAAGTGTGAATTCAGACTTTCGTCATGTCAACTGTGGATTTTTTTTCAAAGATCCAGCAAATTACTGGCTTTGATTTAGCAGAAAGCAACGGAAGAACAACATGGGGAGGATTCAAAGATCAAAGGAAAAAAGAAAGACAACAACCCTATTAGGTGCAGAACAACACTACACTCACATGGCGGATCGCTATCCAACCACAACAAGACAACGCAGCCCCGACTCCGACGGAGAACTACAAAGAAACTACGCAAGGCTAGCGTATGTGAAGATCGCCGCATGGACCACCTGCCGCTCTGTCATCGTACGACACTGGGGCCCCGCACCGCAGCTTCGCCTTCATAGCAACAAGCAGCCGAGACAATCCCACGGACACGCCGGAGAAGAGCCGGCTACCACAACCAATGTGACGCCTCCGACAATTGTTACCACCGTCATCGTTGCACAGAAGTCTAGCCACCCTCATTGCCAGACGGACAACAACCAAACACAATGTCGTGCACATCCAACCCGTAGGAGGCACCAACGGACCAAGATCTTCAAGACGGTAACCTAAAGAGGGGGAAACGACGCCACCCCCTGACCCTACAACAGAATCTAGACTTTCACCCGAAGATCTTGATCCGGGAGTAGAGGATGCAGATCCCAATGATGCCTCCAAGAAGGATAACAATGCCCACAGGCGTCATTGTCGTCGCCGGCGCCGGCAAGCACCAGCCAAGCTTTCGCGCGGAGCAACCACTCCCATGCTACCGGCCAGGGCCCACAAGTACCTCGGCTGAACTGTGCACCCCCAACGCAGCGAGCACGCGTACACTACGCAGGGCCACCACATTCCTCATTGTCGACAAATAGAGGCTCACTGCAGAGAAGAGAGTTCCCATGGTGTCGGGCCTAAACAAGCCAGATCAGGACCTGCATCCCACGCATCCACCACAACCAAAGCCTCCCTGCTCCAGTGAGCGCCAACCGGGCACCATCGGTACCCCTCCTGGGCCGCCAGCCCGCAGATCAGGGATAAGCCTGCCAAATCCAAATCCCCCGAGCTGGTGACCTATGTCCACACCGATGCCCAGCGATCGTGCTCCACCAACAGAACACCTACTGCTCGCCGGATCCGCCGCCGCCCTCTGCATCCCTGACCACCAGCGCGCCGGATCTGCAGCCCCCTACACCAGCCGCCATGGGCACCTACTACGCTGGCTTCCCGCACCACCCACCTGGGCTGGAGAAAGAATGCCTCGCCGCCACCCTCCTCAAAACACTAGTAGAAAAAGGGCCTAATGTGAAGGTCATTAGTCCCGGTTTGTAATTGAACTGGCACTAATGTGACCATTAGTGCCGGTTCTAACAGCTAGGCGGGCGGCGCTCATTAGTACCCGTTCGTGGCGAACCTTTAGTACCGGTTTGTGCCATGAACCGGTACTAAAGGGGTCATGGACTTTAGTACGGGTTGGTGGCTCCAACCGGTACTAAAGACCCCCCCTCCCCTTTACTACGGGTCCGTGCAACCAGCCGGTACTAAAGTGGTGCGCTGCCACCCGTAGTGCACAATGTTTAGTCCCACCTCGCTAGTTGAGAGGAGCTCGCACCGGTTTATAAGCCCCGCCGCGGCTATCGTGTCGAGCTCCTCTCTGAGCAGGCCTTTGTGGGCCTATTGCAAGTTTTCTTCCCTGTGGGGCCTACTGGGCCGTACGGGCCTGCATCCTGGCCCAACTAGAGGTTGGGTTTCTAGTCGTATGCAGGCCGTGCCGGCCCAGTAGATGGGTTGTTTTTGCTTTATTTCAAAAAAAAGTTCCCTACCAACCGGTACTAAAGGTCTCCCTGCCCCCGACCCTGGCCCGTGCCACGTGGGGGCTTAGTGGTGGTTCGTGTTGAACCGGTACTAAAGGGGGGACCTTTAGTCTCCACCCTTTAGTGCCGAACCGGCACTAAAGGGCCTTACGAACCGGTGATACAGCCCGGTTCTGCACTAGTGAAAGCACAACGAGATTTCTCACCGGCTTCCTTAGGTGAAAGCAAGGGGGGAGATGGGGGGACGGGGAGCGGCGGTCCGAGCCGCCCCAACTGTTGATTTTTTACATTCTCGTTATTAAACTAAACAAGGCGAAGGTAACCATGTTATAGTCACATGCCATCTTTCCTATCTATTTTACTGTATTATTAAGGTTTGTGCCTCTACAACTGACAACAACCATATCCATAACCATGTTGTAGTCGTCGCTAGGTGGTCTACGAAAATGGATGTGATTTTTATTATTTCTATGATCTTTATACTACCATCGCAAGATGAATAGATCGAAAATTTTATCCCAAAAATAAGGTATAGCAATTAATGTGATGATGTCAACATTTAGGTGGGAGATTTCTTCATGCATGTATGTGCTCTATATTACGAAAAAATCTCATTGGAATGTGGCAGCAAGTGAAGACCAAAGGTGCACCCTATGTACATTAGATTTTCCTTTGAATATGTTGTGTATTCATTGATCTGATGTTATTTAAAAAGTTGTTTAAAGATTTTCCTTTGTTGTTGTCAATAAACCTATTGAGCCGGAGGCCCGACCGATTAAAATAACCAAAATCAATAGCCTCAGTGGTTCGATTACCAATCCGGTTTTGAAAATTATGGCTAATATTGACAACAAAATTCTCGGCAATATTCTGGGCTATGTGTGACTAATTTAGGAGTGAACCTCTGATTTTATCGGGTTTTTGTCTTGGCTTGTTGGTATCCCTTTGTGCTGGACCAAGGCCTTGTTGGTATCCATTTGTGCTGGACCTTGTATCTATGGCTTGGTAATGTACATGTGCTATTGCCAATGGTACTCTGGACTAGTTCAGTGTCTTGCTAATTAATGTACTTGAAGTGCTGAGTATCTCGGAATGGATTTCTTTAACCATCGAGTTATTAATTTATGGAGATTAGAAGATAGATATGCATATCCAAAAACCAGATTTCCTCCAATAAATTCCACAAACATCAATGGATTTCATCTGTACATATAGCTTCACAATTTCCACCACTCTTGCATCTCATTCCAAGCAAGCACCACCCGTCCAGTCTGTATTCCATGGCGGCCAAATTACTTCTAGCAATAACCCTCCTGGGAACCCTCATTACATTCGTCCATTGCATCACAGCCTCGACCTCGTTGCCGCCGCTCAACAGCAGCAGTGGCAGCTTCAGCCTCCGGCTCGCCGCCAACCACCAAACGACGCATGACTTGGCGAGCCTCCAGCGCGCCAAGGACCATGTAAAGTGTCGGATCACCAACCATCTCCTTCCGCCGGGCACCGCCACCAACATCACCGTCAACGCCATAAGTCCGCCCATGTGCCCACTGGCAGACATGGTGTACGCCGTCATGGTAGTCGTGGGCACGGAGAATGGGTCCCATGAGTACCAGCTCGCGCTGGACATGGCCACCGGGCTGACCTGGATGCAGTGCGTGCCGTGCAACCCTTGCAAGCCACAGTTCAACCCAGTGTTTGACCCATCTAAGTCACCGACCTTCCACCATGTCCCGGCCAACGATGGAGTCTTATGCCGTGCGCCTAACGAACCGCAGGAAAGCGGTCATTGCGTATTCCACATCGGTTACCGGAGCAGCCGCTCATCGGCTACGGGATACCTCGCCAAAGACGTCTTCTCCTTCCTCAAGGGCAGCAATGAAGGTGGTCTTGAGCAGCTGCATGGCATGGCCTTCGGCTGTGCCCACCGCGTGGAATTTAACACCCAGAGCGCCCTCGCAGGTGTCCTCGGTCTGGGGATGTGGAGGTCCACCATGAATCCGCGTACCGCCTTCACGGACCAGGTCGATCATGGCCGAGGCGTTCACTTCTCCTACTGCCCGTTCACGCCGGGGATGAGCGCGTACAACTTCCTCCGGTTCGGCGCCGACATCCCTAGACAACCACCGCCGAGCGTGCGCCGCCAGAGCACACACATCCTTATGCCGACTCAGAAGAGCGGTTATTCGTACTATGTCAAGCTCGTCGCAGGGCAGGTCCTGAGAGTTTGGGGGCCCGGGGCGAAACTAAATCTTGGGGCCCCTCAATATAAAGATCGTAACAATACTAATTAATACTTAGAGCCAAGGAAGTCAAGGTACACAACCTAATTATAGTCTCTGAGTCAAAGCAAGTGGTGTGACAGATTAACCAAGGAAGTCAAGGTAGAGATGGAGCAATTATCATCGAGATCAGAACCAGAGCCGTTGCAGTTTTGTTTAATTGTATATTTACTTTTTAAGGTCGAGCAGCCAATATTGGCGCGCATAGTTTAGCTAGATTTTCCTTTTCCTTAGCTCCGGATCAAGTTTTGGTTTGGCAAACCACATGATCCAGATTGTGTCCAAGTAGCTGTGGAGATTGATTATAAAAGTTTGGCCTTACCTCTTAAAAGAAAAACTTAGAGCCACTTACATTGTTCTCAATGATGTTTCTTTCCTTCAAATTCAGAATTTATATTAGTTGGACCTCTTACTGACGGAACGATCACCAACTATTTATTGGGTTTCACCAATGCACCAATAGTACTTAAAAAAACAATATCACTTCTATGTGGTTTTATCAAATCAATCACACCCTGTTTTCTTCACTTTTTTCGTTCTTATGGGCACACTTTCTGGACAATGCAACATGATAACGCAGGGTGCTGACTACTGAGAATTTTAAAAACAAGTCAAAGATTGAAGAGTGCAAGCTATGCACCATGTAGGGAAATGCAAATTATTTAAATAGCAATATACAGCAGGGAATAGTAATATGAGACGTATATACCTCGGTCAGATCGGCGTGTTGTGTTTTGGCAACGGGATGATGTGGGTTCGCGCATGGCAGGAGGCCCTCGGCTCGGCGATATGCGCGAGTGCAAGTTCGTCCTAGAGGATGGAGACCGCAGCCAAGGCCTCACCGGCGAGCAGAGTTCGTCGGTGTGGAAACTCGATCGGAGCCTGGGGGCTGGGGAATAGGGTTCGTCGCTAGGTCTCGCAATCGGAAGGAAGATCGCGATGCGCGATGCGCGATGCATGATGCGTGTACGTACGAGTCATTTGATTACCTGGGTCCTGCGGGCCAAGCCTAGTAGGTAACCTCCGTGGAGCCTGACTGCCTCCATGGGCCATGGCCGAGAGCCTACGTGTGTGTACATACCTGCTGCCGAGGGGGCCCCTGGATGTTGGGGGCCCGGGGCGGCCACCCCCCCTGCCCCCCCTCAGGGCCAGCCCTGGCTCGTCGGGGTAAGCGTGGGCGGAAGCCGGGTGTCGGGGGTCACGCCAGAAATGTTCCGGCGTCTCCATACTGGGGTAAGCGGGTGCATCATCGACATCGGCACGAAGATGACGGGGTTCATCGATGCGGCGTACGTCCACATCGAGAAGGCAGTGCGGCTCTACCTACAGCACCACGGGGCGCACTTCGTCCATCTACAGGGCCACCACTTGTGCGTCCACCAGCCGGCGCCGCACCACGACGTCCTCCCGAGCATGACGCTGCACTTCGACGGCGACGCGTGGCTTCGGGTCATGCCGGAGCATGTGTTCATGAAGATCGTCGACGAGGCCGGCCACCAATACCAGTGCCTTGGCTTGGTCTCCACCAGGCACGTGACGGTCATCGGCGCCATGCAACAGATCAACCATCGTTTATCTTTGACCTCCAGAGGTACCCGACTCTTAGTTTCAATCCGGAGGCCTGCCACCTAGACGTGCCCCAAGCTAAATCTTGACATCTTGTACTAGTGCTGGTTGTTTCGAATAAATTTATTGCAATAAAGTCTGAGATTTTCGATATGATGGTAGGCAGCTTTACTTTTTTGGAGCTGATAGGTTTTGTGCCACTATATGAACTGGTCTGGATGCCCTCTCCCGGTTATATGACCAATAATGCTAGACCTACAAAGACCAATAAAGGTTTACATAATCTTCCAAACTAATTCTCTTTCTCACCCCTTCCCCTGATTTTAAGTGGGCGTGGGCCCCCTCATCCTCCTATTACCAATCACAATCCTCCACATCAGTTTGTATGTAAAATCTTTAGGAAACCTTTGTAGATGTAGCATTACTCGTGGTATGACATCCCCCGCGCTTTACCCCAAGGTACCAATCAGACCAGTTTAGTGGCATTAGTTGTCCTTAACTAACACAAACAACATTTTTGTCAGACAACTATATAATGGAAGGACTGATCATTTTACATGGAACCATTCATGAGCTGCACACTGAAAAAATACTCCCTCGGTCCTACAATATAAGACGTTTTTGCAAGCTAACGTAGCTTGCAAAAACGTCTGCTATTGTGGGACGGATGGAGTAGATGGGTGACTTTCAAAAGGGAAACTCTTCGTTGTTGACGTTCAATATGGGCAATTTTCTTAGTACCATTTGACAAGAACAGTAATGCATAGGAGATGGCAAAAATGATAACATTACTGAAGGAAAATAGTATAAACGTTAAATCACAAAAAGGTGCCAGGATACACGGGTGATGGATCTATTTTACGCAAGGTATCTAAGCAAGCAAGTATGATCATTACCCAGCTTAACAAATTATAGCTAGCTGGAAATAAACAGTGTTACTAGTGCGTTTGCAAATCCTCACGTTCAACCAGAGCTATGTGCTATTAGCATCACATTACCATTTTGGCCGGGGAAACGAGAACATCAGTGAAACAAAATACTCCCTCCGTCTAGGTGTGTAAGTCATCTTACGTTGTGCACCGCGACCAAGGTGGAGAGAAAAACGAGAAACTTAATGTCTTTTTGCTAATTAATAGCATTGCATGCAATGAACTAACCACTGCATATGTCATGTTTGGTAGCTCAAGTCATTGAAAGCATGCACGGCTCACATCTCTTATTGGTTGATACGTCACAAAACAAGAAACGAGGAGAGAGTTAATGTACCGTGCCTAAGTGTTTTGGGATTATTTGGTTTTCGTAAGATGACTTACACACCTAGACGGAGGGTGTAGTAAAATCCTCACGTACAGGCTCCTCCACTAGTAGAAAAGCGGGCAAAGGTCCAGGCCAGGTCGGCCCATTAGTCCCGATTCACTCCAGAACCGGGACCCATGGCGGCATTGGACCCGGTTCGTGAGCCCCGAGGGCCGGCCGGGCCACGTGGGACAAACCGGGACCAATGGGCCTCGCTCCTGGCCCACCACCATTGGTCCCGGTTGGTTGCTTGAACCGGGACCAAAGGCTGCCATTTAGTCCCGGTTCATGCCACCAACCGGGACCAATGAGGTGCCTATATATACCCTCTCGCGTAAGAGCAGAGCACACTGCTCTGTTTTTTCTGGCCGCCGAGGGGGAGAGGGCTTGGTGGTGCTCTAGCTCACCTCCTATGCACACAAGGTGTTCGATGGAATGCCCGAGCCACACTACTTAAGCTTTCTCCTCTCCAAGCTCGTCCTCCAAGCTCCATTTTCCTCAATATTTGTCTAGGTTTAGCGGTCCGTCACGCCCCGTTCCCGTCTTCACCGCCATCGACCACCCGCGCCGATCTCATCCGGCACCACCGTGGTGAGCCTCTTGTTCTTATCTTCTTTCTGGAAGGAAAAATATTCTTACTTGTATGTCTAGATAGATACTTGTATTATTTTCTTACTTTTATTGTTGCATCTTATATAGTGCGATGGTTTTGGTATCCGCCCCCGTCGGTCCTCGTCCTGTCTATGATTCGTATGTGGTATATATTATCTTTTCATAACTATTGGTTCATTTATTGTTTATGAAAATTATGCCGACCAACATGACATAGATTTTATTTATCTAGGAGGTTGTTGAACCGGAAATTCCAACCGACCCTATTGTCGAGAGGTTAAATTTAGTTGAAGAAGAAAACAATTTCTTGAAGAAAAAAATAAGAAAAATTGAGGAGGAGAAGATGATATTGGAGTTGCATGTTGCGGATGTCATCGATGATCACAAGATCAAGATGGATGCAACGCGCTTGAAGATTAGAAAAATTAGAAAATATGCCATTCATACCGAGGCTTGGTATCATTATGTCGTTGGATCAGTTGTTACCTTGGTTGCGATTACGATCGCATTTGTTTTTTGCATTGAAATGTTTTACATAGTTTCAATGTATGGTTTAATTAATTTAGATGCTCTGCAGAGCTTTATGTTGTTAGATGAGAACTATGTATGTACTTTGGTTTTAATGTGATGATGAAATTCTATTAATTTGGTCACTTAATTATCTTTTTGTGATGTTCTGTAATGATTTTTGACACACTTAATTATATATAATGCACGTAGATGAACCGGCAATGGATGTACGGTGACAGACACACCTCCGAGTACATTAAGGGCGTGCATGATTTTCTCGAAGTGGCTGAGGCAAACAAGCACAATGGTTTTATGTGTTGTCCATGCCCTATATGTGGGAATACGAAGTCTTACTCTGACCGAAAAATCCTTCACACCCACCTGCTTTACAAGGGTTTCATGCCACACTATAATGTTTGGACGAGGCACGGAGAAATAGGGGTTATGATGGAAGACGGCGAAGAAGAAGAGTACGATGACAACTATGTGGCCCCTGAATATGGTGATGCTACTGAACATCAAGAGGAACCAGACGATGTGCACAATAATGTTGCAACGGGCGAAGCTTCTGAAGATCAAGAGGAACCAGACGATGTGCCCGATGATGATGATCTCCGCCGAGTCATTGCCGATGCAAGGACGCAATGCGAAAGTCAAAAGGAGAAGCTGAAGTTCGATCGCATGTTAGAGGATCACAAAAAAGGGTTGTACCCCAATTGCGAAGATGGCAACACAAAGCTCGGTACCGTACTTAAATTGCTGCAGTGGAAGGCAGAGAATGCTGTGCCTGACAAAGGATTTGAGAAGCTACTGAAAATATTGAATAAGAAGCTTCCAAAGGATAACGAATTGCCCAACAGTACATACGTAGCAAAGAAGGTCGTATGCCCTCTAGGATTGGAGGTGCAGAAGATACATGCATGCCCTAATGAATGAATCCTCTACCGCGGTGCATACAAGGATCTGAACGCATGCCCGGTATGCGGTGCATTACGGTATAAGATCAGACGAGATGACCCTAGTGATGTTGACGGCGAGCCCCCCAGGAAGAGGGTTCGTGCGAAGGTGATGTGGTATGCTCCTATAATACCACGGTAGAAACGTCTGTTCAGAAACGGAGAGCATGCGAAGTTGATGCGATGGCACAGTGAGGACCGTAAGAAAGACGGGAAGTTGAGAGCACCCGCTCACGGGTCGCAGTGGCGAAAAATCGAGAGAAAGTACTGGGATGAGTTTGCAAGTGACCCAAGGAACATATGGTTTGCTTTAAGCGCGGATGGCATTAATCCTTTCGGAAAGCAGAGCAGCAATCACAACACTTGGCCCGTGACTCTATGCATGTATAACCTTTCTCCTTGGATGTGCATGAAGCGAAAGTTCATTATGATGCCAGTTCTCATCCAAGGCCCTAAGCAACCCGGCAACGACATTGATGTGTACCTAAGGCCATTAGTTGAAGAACTTTTACAGCTGTGGAATGGAAACGGTGTATGTACGTAGGATGAGCACAAACAGGAGGAATTTGACTTAAAGGCGTTGCTGTTTGTGACCATCAACGATTGGCCCACTCTCAGTAACCTTTTAGGACAGACAAACAAGGGATACCATGCAAGCACACACTGTTTACTTGACACCGATAGTATATACCTGGGAAGCTGCAGGAAGAATGTGTACCTGGGCCATCGTCGATTTCTTCCGACCAACCATCAATGTCGAAAGAAAGGCAAGCATTTCAAAGGCGAGGCAGATCACCAGAAGAAGCCCGCCATGCATACCGGTGATCACGTACTTGCTATGGCCAATGATTTACACGTAATCTTTGGAAAGGGTCCCGACACACTAGTTGTTCTGAATGACGCTGAGGAACATGCACCCATGTGGAAGAAGAAATCTATATTTTGGGACCTACCGTACTGGAAAGACCTAGAGGTCCGCTCTTCAATCAACGTGATGCACGTGACGAAGAACCTTTGCATGAACCTGCTAGGCTTCTTGGGCGTGTATGGAAAGACAAAAGATACACCTGAGGCATGGGAGGACCTGCAACATTTGCACGAAAAAGATGGCATGCCTCCGAAGCAGTATGAAGGTCTTGCCAGCTACGCTCTTACGAAAGAAGAGAAAGAAATCTTCTTTGAATGCCTGCTCAGTATGAAGGTCCCGACTGGCTTCTCGTCGTATATAAAGGGAATAATAAATATGCCAGAGAAAAAGTTCTAGAACCTAAAGTCTCATGACTGCCACGTGATTATGACGCAACTACTTCCGGTTGCATTGAGGGGGCTTCTACCGGAAAACATCCGATTAGCCATTGTGAAGCTATGTGCATTCCTCAATGCAATCTCTCGGAAGGTGATCGATCCAGAAATCGTACCAAGGCTAAGGAGTGATGTGGCGCAATGTCTTGTCAGTTTCGAGCTGGTGTTCCCACCATCATTCTTCAATATCATGACGCACGTCCTAGTTCATCTAGTCGATGAGATTGTCATTCTGGGGCCCGTATTTCTACACAATATGTTCCCCTTTGAGAGGTTCATGGGAGTCCTAAAGAAATATGTCAGTAACCACGCTAGGCCAGAAGGAAGCGTCTCCATGGGCCATCAAACAGAGGATGTCATCGGGTTTTGTGTTGACTTCATTCCTGGCCT